TCAACATATATATATGTATATTAATGCAATAAGTATTTTTGATAGTCCAGTTACCCATTAAATTGCTTGATTATTTCTTTCCTTAATCCTCTCATCACTAGAACACCTTATCTTATCTTCCTTCAATGAATAAAAATCTGTAAAACAGTTTATCGCGTGTTGCCATCTTTAATTTGTGATGTTTAATAATTTGTTTGAAATTCTTAGATGTATTATTAACAATGGCATACAATTTTAGCAGACACAAAATAACGAAGATGAGCTATAAACCAATTTTGTAAAGGGAGATAATCCAAATTTTCCAGTAATTACAACTAAACAGAAAAATCATGATAATGGGTCTTAAAACGCCACTGACTTGCCCGCACTAAGTAGAGTTCAGACCCATAAAGATAGAGAGAGAGAGAGAGAGAGAGCAAATTTTTTTTATGCTGAAAATCAAAAGAATCGTTGCATGAAGTGTCTTTGAATTTAACCATGTGTTAAGAGCTTCAGACGTCATTGACACAACCAATAAATGGCATGTAAATAATCTAATTGCTGCAAATGAGACCTTTTGACAAAATACTGTGTAGGTGTAATGATCAATGAACAGTATAAATATAGTAAATATTCATTACATAATTCGCTTTCAAATCAAATCGGTGAAAAATCATCTCAGATTCATACATTTTCCCGCAAGAGTTCTCGTTCGTTGAACGAAATATCTCGAGAACATCCAAACGTAGAAACTTGATTAAAATAGTGCATAAGAAACGTTTTTCTATTAAAAGTGAAGCCAACTCAGTTATGCTCCAAAAGCACCTTCCTATTTTTTATTTGGTAAACGCACTACTAAATTAAGGCACAACTGTGTATTAAACTAAGATTTATATAAACGTAATATTATTGACATTCCTTATAGTTCTTGTGGTAAACGTATATATATTATCAAATGTCAGCTTTATGTTGAGTTATTTGGATTTTCCAACACATCCATGTATGTTTCGTTAATCATTTTAAGTAACTGTAGAATGTTATCAACAGACATGTATTTATATATTCTGAATCTTGTGATTTATAATCATTGATTGTTATTCATTATTCGTAAGGTTGTGATTCATATGCGAAATGATTTTTATTCCAAAACTTGATATTCATATTCGAAATCTAAAGTCTATAGTCAGTACCTTCGAAAACTTGTTATTTAACTGCAAGAACTTTTCATGTCTGTGTAACACTTAACAATTAAATTTTTAAAATGATTTAGATTTTTAGAATTTAAATATCTTAATTCAAATTTCTTAGTTTTAAGAACTCAAATTGATTTCGTATTTTGAAATTTGATATTTAAGCTCAAAAATCTAAATTTCCAAATTTCCAATTTTAAAATTTTAAATTTTTAGATTAAAACAATTTGGAATATTCAAAGTAAAAATCTAAAAATTTGAAATTTATAAACGACGTTTTATCAGTTTACAATGGATACTTCCATTTTTATGTCTAGTCGACTAAAAATATCCACTTAACTCGAAATAAAAAATATTGCAGAGTCTGTAACACATATTTGGATGTGTACTGACTATAGATGATACGGGCCAACCTTTGATTGAATTGTATGACAAACGCTCAACTTTCCTGATTTATGTAGTAATATTCCGCTATCACCCGCAAATGGTGTTTATGTCTCCAAGCATGCTCTGAGTACGATCAAATTTTAAACTAAAGCATGCTACTGACAGATAAGTTGATATAACAAGGTTTTCAACAATCTCGTTTAAAGTCAGCGTTTTGTTAATTCTATGGTCGTTATAATCATCTTGTAAGCAAATACGAGCGTTGATTCAAAAGAAATGTCAATACTGCTATAAAATCTTCAATAATCGAATGTAATCAACACAATTTGACATACTAATATCCTAATCTATTTAGATTTTTGCCTTTAAATTTCATTCGATTATATAAAGTGTTTTTAAAAAATATTAAAATAAACACAACGTTATGTTTTGTCTATCGCCGCACGGTCAGAATATTAACGACGTCATTATGACGTTACTCTTCGGCACTCACTTTCAATCATTTTCAGATCATCTGCATATCTTTTTAACCTCTCATGTGCTTCTTTTCTATAATCATTATTTCTATTTTGCTAAAGGTTCTAGTTTTAAAATTAATTGAACTTTTTTCCAAATGTTATTTCTAAATTCATTTCTTTTTGCGTAAATCTTATGCATCATCAGATTCAAAATGAGCGTCGAAGAGAAACGTCATAATGACGACGGTATATTCTTGCCGTGCGGCGATAATCGAGACCCAGCTTTGTTTTTATTTTGATATTTTATAAAGTATTGTATAAATCTTAGTGAAATTTTAAGACAAATGTCAAAACAGATAGACGTATTAGTATATAAACTTTTTTTTGAAAACTTTCAAATTATTTATGATTTATATCAGATGTGCCATTACTTTTGGATAAACCCTCGTATAACCTTTCAGAGGGTCATATTTTGGCTGACTTGTTTCATACCAATTGTTAGACTTTAGTTTTTATACTAATTTTGACTACGGAATATTCCATCTACCTGATCAATACTTAAGGCTCACACCGGGGTGTGACCGGTCTATAGTGGACTTTTACTCCTCCTAGGCACCTGATCCCGCCTCATTAATTTCCAAGGGTCTGTGTTTTATGCCTTGCTCAAAGATTTTTATTGTATATAGATTTTTTTAGATCGATCACTATTTGTTTTCTTCACCTTTTTAATTTCTTTTTGTATTGAAGAAAACGTTGAGAAGATTTGGATTCATTAAAGGGTGAAAACTAATTATATTCAGTGCAAAAATTTTATTCAAGATAACTTTTTAAAATGACATCATTCGTGAAACGTCAAAGTGAAAAAAAATCACAAAACAAAATTGATGTTATCCAGTAGTGAAATTTATTCATGGCTGAGAAAAGACTGGTTCGATATCCTACTAGTTAACCGAACAATTTTTTTCAAATGCACGATTGCAGTTGACTGCAAATACAATCTACAATAATATCTAGAAGTTTTATTCTTTAAATATATGCAACCTGAAATTTTTGAACATCAAGCGCTGATTCATATTTGCTTCAAAATTATGATCAACTTTAGATTGCTGCACGTTTATTCTTAAAAAATAAGTAATCAACATGTAAATTAACTCCTGAAGTCGTTAATAAAAAAGCTTTTAAGTTTTCATACCGTGTCTAAAAGACCACTTAGCACTCGTTTATTTCTTTTTTGTTTTCGTCCAATTTTGAAATTAATGGATGAGTTTTAAATGAGATTTATCTGTTCAAAATTATTATTAAAACGAATATAAATTAAAGATCAATTCTCTGAGCTCCTCATCCACCTGGAGTATATGGAGGGACATTACCCACTATTGTCAAAAATGAATACATTTTGGTGGTTTTAATTTCACTGTTTTCGGGATCAAAGAATTTTCGGCGATCATTGAGCAATCGTGAATATAGTTGACATATTAAATGTAGCAAACCTTGCTTTCCTCTTTCGTCATAAATTATGGAAATTCATTAGAAAACCAAAAGTGAATAACAAAGTGAATAACAACGGCGGGTACGTTTGCTAAAAATGATCTATCATAACTTTCGTTGTTTTTAAAGAAAAATCTTTGAAATTCCAAATATTTAATGACGGGAAACGAAATGTTTGAGATAACAAACAGTATTCAAGCTCAAAAGTCCATTAAACAATACAAATTTTGGAGCAGAGCAAACACGGACCTCTAAAGATCAGAGGTGGGATCAGGTGCCATGGAGGCCGGTCACACCCTTGTCATGATCGGGAAGTAACGGAAAAATCCGTCGATAATTCAGTGTGTAAATGATGGCCCAACAATCAGTATGAATAACGTCAGTCAGCATTTGACTTAATGAAAAATTGTATTTCCTGACAAGGTCATTGTATCGACCATAGAACTTTTTAGATTTTAAATAAGACTGCTGATATTCTTGTTTCATCAACTTGTTTGTCAATACCTCACTTTAGAAATTGCTCATACGTAGAGCATGCTCTTGCGTATCGAATCAACTGTGAGATATAAACCCCGTATGCAGGCGATGAAGGTATATTGCTGCATAAGTTATTAATAAATAAGTAATACGTAATTAATTAACTCCCCCTCCTGGAAATGTAGCTATAATTAAAATTGGGAAATATTAAATACGTGAAATTAAAGACGTTTGCAGTATTTTGCACATTTTATTTTGTACTTTTTCTTGCATGATATCGGTCAAGCTATCATATAACATAGGACAGCTGACGTGAAAACGGGCGAAAATGGAAAGTCCTAAAAATCATGTGATAGACAGCATCGCCACATAGTTTTGTAATTGGATGTAATTTTTATCCAATCCCTGTGTTTTCCTAAAAACACACACAAATCATTTCAAAACACAAACCACGGGGGTTTCTTAACGTGTTAATTAATTATACTATAATTATGTATTTGTAATATGAAAATTGAATGTAAACAAATTTACATCTTTAAAGTATTGACGTAAATTAAGCAGTATTTTAAAAGAGATTAATTTTATTTACAAAGTGCTGTAAATAACAACCAACAAGAAAAAGAAAAAACATGTCCGGGAAGGCGCCGTTTCTCTTCTCAAATGGGATGATATCTGATCATGTTTTGACAGGCTTAGAATTTGAAACAGAACGTCCATATCTACAAGTAAAATTTTTTAAAAGAAGATTGTATATTTCAAACTAGGAAAGTTTTGTTTGTCTCTCTGAAGAAATAATTTACATGTATATGCATATTTCAAAGTAGGAAGATTGTGTCAACTCTTTCTAAAGACTAAAAGTTTTACATATAGACTTGAGATAAGAATTAGATAGCTTGTTTTTGATATACATTGTTTAATCAATTACAGATTCCATGCTACATATCTTTGGAATGGTCTATTTTGTAATTAAGGAAATATATTTCTGTATGTAAATTATGGCCAATAAGAAGGAAATATGTACCTTGGTCGAGCCAGTATCAGATAATACATATTCAATTCCTGAATATATCGCCTTAGTTCCTCGATGCTAGAAATAGATGTTGGTCTTTCTGGAGGAGCTAATAACTCTGTAGCTTCAAATTTTGCCGCGGTAACTATACCAAATCCAAAGACGACCATAACAAATAATAACACAGTCTGTGATGTTATCCTGTAAAAGAAATAATGTTTTGCAATGATTTCGGTTTTCCATTTGAAGAATTTATGAACATTTAGCTGACAGACTTATAATCGCTAAAACTTTTTAGATGGTATATGGACGGTCTCCAGAGTATTATAAGTCTTACAAGAAACGCTGCTCAGAAATTACCTTAAATTAAAAAAAGCATATTATACATTGCAATCAATTAAAATGATGTTATATGGAATTTTTATAAAACTTCGAAACTATAAAAATGGAAGCTTTTAATTGTATACGGTATTATTTAGAAATTTTAAACTTGATGTAAAATTTCTAAGCAATCAAGTTTAGAAACTTTATAGATTAAACAATTTGTAGATTCTGTGCTACATGTATACATCGTTTTATTCCATGACTTAACCCTTTTTTTTTAAATATACAAAATCATTAGAATCGGATCCTATCCCAGAATTTTATCTCAATTGCTAATATTTACAGTCTGCGTATCCTTATCATTTAGGAAATTAAGTTTTTGTTTATAAATTTATGTTTTTGATACAAATCTATGTTTGTTTTTTTAAATGAGTTGAAAACATAAAATATTTTGGGTTTTTTTTTTAAGTGAACACATTTGTTTTAAATTTTGAATAGGTTAAGATTTTTTTTCAAGCAACGTAAATCGGATATACATGTACTACTAGTATTTTAGTTAGAAAATGATTTTTATGAAGAATATTTGACAGACGATTTATAACATATTTTACTGCGATATGCAATTGGTATTGAAAAAAGTTCACTCTTTTTTTTTTTTTTTTTTTTTTTTTTTTTTTGTATAAATTTTTTTTGAATACATTCGATTTTAAACCAAAGAAAGTGCCAGTAAAACCCTTTTTCATGATTTTTTTTTTTACTTCTTGTTGTGGAACTTATTAGCTTAAAGAAATCAAGTCAGGTAGTTGGATAACCTACTTTCCACATTTGTATTTAATTTTGAATAGGTTAATTTGTTATTTCAAGCAAAGTAAATCAGATATACCTGTTCTAGTATTTTAGTTAGAAAAAGATTTTTATGAAGAATATTTGATATACGATTTATTATTACTGCGTTATGCAATTGGTATGGAAAAAAGTTCACTTATTTTTTTTGTAAAAAAAAAAAAAAAAAAAAAATTGGAATACATTCGAAAAGATTTTAAATTAAAAAAGTGTCAGTAAAATCCTTTGTCGTGATTTTTTTTTAACTTCTTGTTACGGAACATATCAGCTTTAAGAAACCACGTCAGGTAGTTGGACAACCTACTATTCCACATTTGTATTTAATCTTGAATAGGTTAAGATTGTTATTTCAAGCAACGGAAATCGGATTTACATGTACTAGTATTTTAGTTTGGAAATGATTTTTATGAAAAATATTTGATAGACGATTTATTATTACTGCGTTATGCAATTGGTATGAAAAAAAGTTCACTTCTTTTTTTTGTATAAAATTTTTTTTGAATACATTCGAAAAGATTTTAAACTAAAAAGTGTCAGTAAAATCCTTTTTCATGATTTTTTTTACTTCTTGTTGTGGAACTTATTACCTTAAAAAAACCACGTCAGGTAGTTGGATAACCTACTTTCCACATTTGTAGGTTAATTTGTTATTTCAAGCAAAGTAAATCAGATATACCTGTTCTAGTATTTTAGTTAGAAAAAGATTTTTATGAAGAATATTTGATGGACGATTTATTATTACTGCGTTATGCAATTGGTATGGAAAAAAAGTTCATTATTTTTTTGTAAAAAAAAAAATTTTGAAATACATTCAAAAAGAATTTAAACTAAAAAAGTGTCAGTAAAATCCTTTGTCGTGATTTTTTTTTTTACTTCTTGTTACGGAACTTATCAGCTTTGAGAAACCACGTCAGGTAGTTGGACAACCTACTATTCCACATTTGTATTTAATCTTGAATAGGTTAAGATTGTTATTTCAAGCAAGGGAAATCGGATTTACATGTACTAGTATTTTAGTTAGGAAATGATTATTATGAAGAATATTTGATAGACGATTTATCATTACTGCGTTATGCAATTTTTTTTTACTTCTTGTTGTGGAACTTATTAGCTTAAAGAAACCACGTCAGGTAGTTGGATAACCTACTATTCCACATGTTATACATAATCTTATAAGAAATCACGTGAGTTGATAACACATTCTAAACTCATTGTCACGGTTTGGGAATTGATTCATTTACGAGAGAATGTTAAAGGTGATGAAAATGAAATATGAGGACACAAGTATCTCAGTAATCTTTTCTTCACACAATATAATAGAAAATATTCGATTTCTTATCATTTTATTAACAACCAGAATAAGTTCAAAAATATGTACCCATCTATGCATAATTTTTGCTTGAAGCATGTCCTAAAGAGGAATGGTAATAAAACAAACTAAGTCAATGATAGTAGTCCCTCCTTTAAGTGAAATCTCAAAAACATTTCAGGTGATTATTAATGGTGTATTCTATTATTTGATGAAATGTAAATTTCGTGTAGCATTTTATATAATTTATTAACGGATATTGAATAATTTACCTTGGATCCATCACATTAATTGATATTTTCATTACCAGTAAAGGTCGATGACAATGTTTAAAATAGAGGTTGTAGAAAAAAAGGTTTTATGAAGAATGAATAAAGGTGAAGGTAACAAGAATCGTAAACAGTGTAAAACAGCGACCCCGGGAAACAATCGTGGAATCAGATGCCATGGACATTAGTACATCATTTGGAGGGGGGGGGGGGGGTACCCTGCCCAGGTTTAAACATTGATCGTTCTCAGAACATGTTCTAGCGTACCGAATTAGTTGGGAGACATTATACATTTATTGCATGATAGTGAGGGAGACATGAAGATTTCTTCGCCCATGAAAAATCATACTGTATATGATTTTTCATGGGCGAAGAAATCTTCATGTCTCCCAAACATTCATGCAATAAATTGTTTATTATACCGAATCAAGCACAGTGCAGGAAATACAAAAAAATCATAGTAATAAAGTAAACATATGTGAAGAACAATATGAAACAGATGTAAGTTACACCACTAGCCGCGCTTCATAAGAACAAAAATCCTTCGTGACAAAGTCAGTTTGATTTACACACTAGTAACATTCAAACCCCACCCTTGAAAACACTATTTTAAATATTTTTTTACACGTTCAAAATCAAAACAATCAATCTAACTCAGTAGTAATCATCCCAGTCGCTGAATTGTGACGTCACAATCGTGAAACACGACGTTTTGTTGCAGGGCAAGCACGACGGTCACGTGACTGTCTCGGCCAATCAGAATCTTTTTTACTAGTAATTATTTATATGAGATATAATAATAACACTATGTGCAGGTGAAAATATAATATTAATAGGAATTTATAAGACTGCTTTTTTGCAGAAAAGGGCAAAAGTTAATTCTCCAACATTTTGTGCATGTCTCGGATTATATGGTTTAAATTAGCGGTAAATATTAAAGCTAGAAATTTGATATAAAATGGTCATTCATATTGCAAAGTTGTTCAAATTTGTTATTTATTTCATTGTTGATTTAAAATTCATTACATGATGAAAAACAGTCAATGTGACGTGTCTCTAGATATATATAGATATAGCTACCCAATAATTCTTTATTGTTTGGAATCATGAAACAGTCTTAGACTTATATGAAAATTTGAATTTTTCATAAAATAAATAATATTCATCATAAATGAACTACAGGAAGGCGATTATTTTTAATGACATTTCAAATTTTATATATCTTATAACAAAAACTGTACAATGACGTATGTACATATTCTGACTTGAACTTCTTAAAGATTCTGAGGCTGAATAAATTAATATTTTCGAATGTTTGTGTACCTGTTTTGTCGTTCAAATACAAACTTGTCTTACATTTCAAACAATTTTCAATGCTCACAAATAATATGAACAGATTTTAGCGTCATATACATGCATTATATGTGGCGTGAATTTCAATTTGTTAGGAGATTTAAACGTTTTTTTTTCATTTATATCTAATTTCTCCAATATATTATATGTTAAGGAAAGTTTACATTAAGTTAAGATGTAATGGAGTGACGTAGTTTAACGTGAAATTAAATCTGATGCAGAAGATCATAATGTTTTAAGGAACCGTATTATTTTAGACTTTAAGAAGATATAAGAAAGATGATAATAAGAATATAATAAGAATTTTTAAAAAAAATAGTTTAAAAGGAAATTTTATTTCTAGGAGTTATGCTTTATACGAGAGAATAAATAATATAATATTTACATTAAGGAGATTTTTAGATTGAATGTACCCCGTTTTCAAAGGGAGTCTAATAATTAATAAGAAACCAAAAATCTTAAGATTTTCACGAAATTAATAAAAATATCATGTAACCCACAAATGTGTTTTATGTAAATAGTGAAATCACTTCAATATTATCTGCAACTTATCTGCAACTTTCTAAAAAAAAAATCGCTACTTATAACTGATATTAATCTATGAGTGAATAGAGAGAGATACTCACATGACTGGAGTTATCTATCTAGGTGAATGATCTGTCGCCAACTCGCTGGATAGACTACAGATTCTTGTGGCGATGTCTGCAATATATATATATGCTCCTCTGCTACCCGATAATGTATCACGCCGTAGACAGGCTCTTGCAGTGTTAAAAAGACACTTTAGATAATCCTCTTAGCGAGAGGGTTTTTTTTTTTCGATGTACAACACTATTTTTTTTAAAAATGATTGGTTAGAACAAAGCAATTGTAAGGCATTTTCTTACTATTGCATAGATTCTTCTCTACAATTCCAATACCTTGAGTGCGGCATTAAATGACGTGATATTTTTGTATAAACTTGAAATTTTCTTTGAATATATTTTTGGAACTTCCTCTGTTAGTTAAATGTTATTATAATAATTCACATGTTTGTCAATCCGAACAGTCTAGTTGTTCTTAAAATTTTGTC